TCATTTTGAAATGTCTGTTTAAATTATATTAGGTTTATCACAGGAGAGGAATCTGTGCAAATGTAATGTATAAAATTTGAAGAAAAAACATTACACGGACAATGGTGTACTTGTATATAAATATATATCTATCTGTCTAAGGAGGGAGATAGACTTTTATGAATATTATATTAAGTATAAGTGTATTAACATAACTAATCGAGTAAAAGTAGTATAGATAGGGTAAGAGTAAAATCAGGTGTAAAAAGAGGTATAAGAGAGAAAGAGAGAGATAATTGGAGAGACAGAGAGAAAGAGAAAGGGAGAGAGAAATAAAGAGAAAGATAGAGAGGGAGAGAGAGAGGGTAGAGGGACATCGAACAGGAAAGAAAGTATACCACTTATAATCGAATTACAAAATCCTCATAGTCTCATAATTAAAGCACAAAGTCCTGTGCGCTTTACTTGAATTCATGAGAATCGCATAGTAAGGCATTCCCACCCGTATAAAGACTTAAATCTCCTCCTCTTTCTTTAACCTCCTATTTGTTTTATTTTTATTACCATCATTTTCGTAGTTATAAACAGTCAGCTTAACTTATATTACTCTAGATTGAGACATGAATTACTAGGATTTAATTTATGCGAGACATGCTATTTATAATCTTAGTTTCTAAAGTCAGCGTCTGTTGAGTTAAATCTAGATAAGTTTTATAGCTAATTATAGGTGATTTCCAGTAGCTAAAAGTTTTGATTGCACATTTAAAGTTTATATTTCAAAGAGATAGTCAAGTATTTAGTTAAGAACATTTTTAAATGGTTTGGGAAAAGCAGAAGATATCTTTACTACTTAAATAAAATCAATGCAGTCGCAACGAATGCGGGCTGGTGGGTCTCCACAATCAAGCGCAGACATTGCTAATTGCACGGCACTTTCATTAAGTTATCTATGCCCATACCTGGACAGTAAATAGAATCATCAGAGTTCGATAAACGTTATCAGCCCATCACTTTTATAGTCTCTGATTAATGAAGTTGAACGTCGAACGTCGAGCGCCGAATGTCGAATGTCGATTGCCGGCGGCAGCAGCTCATTTAATTGCTCTGATGGCGACTTGGTTGTAAATAAGGCAAAGAGCAGAGCAAACTGAAGCAAAGAGCAGGCGGAGCAGACAGCTTAAAGGCCCACTCCAACATTTACAGGCAGCGGCAACAGTTGCCCCTGGCTGCAGCAGCTGCTGCTGCTGTTGGTGCTGTTGGTGCTGCCGTTGTGCCTCATTGTCTCCGCGTGTCTCGCGCTCTGCGCCGCCTGTGTCGACTCTTAAGCGGCCGACTGCAACATTCTTTGCTGACAACGCAGTAATTAAAATTCAATTGCAATTAAAAGTGCGCACGCAAAACGGGCAACGACAAACAAAATGAAGTGCAATGCCAATGGCGAGGGGGCAACCAGGGCGCATTGCATACAAATTTGTCGCATGGCCAACATTTTGCCTTTTGTTGGATGTCTGCTGATTGTTGCCTGCCGCCTGCTGTCTGCTGCCTACTGGCTGCTCTCTGGGCCTACCATGTGCGTTCTTTCAGTCGCGGTTATTCCACTTGTTCGCACATTTTCGCGTAGGCGTTTGACGTGCCGCTGATTAGGTTGCAGTTCTCAGCTCTAATGGGCATGTAGATGCCGCAGTTGCCGACTATTGATTGTTGCCAAATGTACGATATATGAGATGCTTTCGCATCTCTAAATATTTGTTAACGCGAAACTGCTTAGCCAACAGCAATCGCAATTGACCAGGCTAAGCGCCAAGCGCCGAGCGTCGAGCTCGCTGCGCCTGGGAAATGTTTTCTAATTGCCATCATCCAAACTTCGTGGAAGCCCGTCGAAATATTTGATAATTATTCGATATGTGCATTATATTACTTCGAATGATACTACCCGATCCGGCAACAAAAGCAGCATATTCGCTATTAATTTAACCAACATCAAGCAACTAGCGATTCGACCCTTTTGCGGCCTTCGCTGCCATTGCTGCAGTTCGCGTGAATTTTGTATGTTGTACGTGTCAGCAGAAATTTGGAATTATTAATAAGTGCAAAATTAATAGGAATTAAAAACAATTACATATTGTACAATGGCTTGTTGTTGCTGCTGCTGTTGTTGTTGCTGCTGTTGCTTTTGACTCGGCACTTTTATGCGCATTTAAAGGTTTATGTTTATGAAGCTAATGACCGTTTAGACAGGTGCCAAAAGAGCTCGAATCGAATGAATATGTATGTATGTATATGGATCAATGATTGGCAAACTAGCGTTATTTTAAATTGTATTTATTTAGCAATTAATTGTTATTATCGTGTGTATGGTAAATGCATTTCATATGCTTTTTTGTTCATATTTCATAATATCTACATGCAAATCCAGTTCATGGCAAACTTGTTGCGAATTTCAACATGAAACATGCCAATCAGTTTGTTTCTTTTTATGATTATTGTTTTTGGTTCATTAAATAATTGTAGGCACTGTTTGGCATATGATCTACGTGCAGACACACACACGCACACACACACACACACGTGGGTTGCTGCAGGGTGGATGCACATAATTAATTACGGGCTGCTGTTTAAATGCAATTTAATACCCTATGTCCATTAAATAGAAAATAAAGAGTATATCAAAGTTGGGATACATATTCATATCTATGTATCTATAAGTGAGTGGTAAATTGAATATTTGATACTCCATAAAGTTATCAGCTAAATTTACCGAAACGGTCAAATAACATTTTTGCATCTAGTTAAATCTAACATGACATCCATATTCAATTCACTTCCCCTAAAATATTGGAATATTTGAATATTTAACTTGACATAGCATTTACATAAATAAAGATAAACTTAAAAATACAACATTTAAACATCTACTGACTGGTTTTGGTGTTCTTCCGAAATTTGTACAGGGTAATCAATCAGTTTACTCTACAGTATTCTAAATAATTTGCTTTATTGTCTGGCGTTCATACACTCACCGAAATTTGTATCAGTAAACGATAAAAAAGCGGAGTTAAGGGTTAACATTTGAAGTGTTAAGCAATGAAGATTTATTGTTAAGTTTATAATGTTAACGCTATAAGTTTAAATAGTTACTTGATATGGATAATTTATTAAAAAATAATTCAATTTTTTTCAATTAACTGCGCAGTGTGCTCACGCATACGCATGTGGTAAGAGCCCCGCATAATTGTCACGGCACATTTGCAAAATAATTCTTAAATAATTTCATCAATTATGGTCCTCAACTGTAGATTGCCGTTCGCTGGCTGCGTTGTTGCCATTTCAATTATGTTGATATTAATTTTCATATTTAATTTAACACGAAAATAAAATGGCAAAACAGTAAAAGAGCAGAGAGCAGAAGAGAGAGGACACTCGCCATCATGCAAATGGACATACATATGTGGATGGGCGAAGCGTGAAGAGATACATATGCAGGAATACAACAACATTTGTGAAATCCATTTTGCAGTGAAAACCGCATGCATTATTTAAATTTTAAGTGAAATCAATTACAAGCTCGTTGGCATTGCAGTGCTAGGTACTGAGGGGCGGGTCCAAGGCTTTTTGATGTTAAATGCCAACCGCCGATGAATGGCAACAAAGGGGAACGTCGAGTCGGTGTGGCAAATGGTAAATGGCCACGCCAGCAGTAGCAGAAGCAGAGTGCGAGGGCGACGGAAGTGCGCATAAATGCAGTTGCAGTCGAATAAATAAATAAAAATATATTTTGCCATTAAATTTCAATTAATAACAACGCAAACACACACACGTACAGGGCATCAGCGAAAGTTGTTGTTGTTGCTCTTGTTGCTCTTGTTGCTGTTGCTGCTGCATTCACAGCTGCGACTGCTGCTGCAATATTAATACATTTTGGCAGTCGTGCGTGCGCTGATTGCCGCAAGCCCATGAAATTAAGTCACAAATTAATTAATTAGTGCAATCAATACGTGCGACATTTGCATTTGCAATTACAATTATGGCTTCGCATTGCTTGCCAGCCAGTTAAATCCAACAATTTCTTACGCTCTACATTTAGTTCACATATGTATCTATAAAGCTGATCAAACAGTTAAGGTCGCTCGCCAGATTTGCGAGACACACACATTGCTGGCACCACCTAAACAGGAGCTTGGTGCGCCATGGCGAACATAATTTTTTAATGGACTTTTAATGTTTGTCGCTTGCATTTCACTTGGTGTTATGTATATGTATGTATGTGAGTGTGTCTGTGTGTTGCGTGAGCTTTTTGGGGTCAACTTAGTTGCCTGGGCAAAATTAGCGGCCTCTTGTACTGAACATATGTAAGCTACATAGGTGGGTTTTCCGGCAATGCTGTATGAAGCACTTGACTATCTGGCTGAAAAACTGTACACTTTCAAACGGTTATGAGATGGATTTGCAATATATTGTTTCGAAAATGATTATGTAATGTCGCTCATATATTTTTCTTATTTGGAACCAAATGCAAATCGTAAAGTTAAATAAGTAAATAAGGTTTAACGGTAGCTAACTTTATAACTAACTAACTAACTTTAATTTTCAACACAAAAGTTTGAATATTTAATATTTCTTGCATTGTCAAGCTTATGTTTACTGCTTGCTTTTTGTTATGAAACTGCTTGCTTGAACCTCTGCTATCAGGCAACAGATGGAGCCACCATACAGTTACTGTTTTAGCTTATGGGCAATGGATGGTTTGGTTAATTAGCAGTCTTAGCAACAGCATCATAGGTGGCGCCAACAACAGTGTTCTAGCTTGCAAAACCTATATTAATCTGACCAGATTTTAATACCTTGAAAATGTTGTTCCCTCTTTGGCATTATATTAATCGAGAGATTGTAAAAGATGCTTTAGCATATGCTGTAGAGTAGAGCCACATAGTTGCCTGGGCTGATTGTAACTTCTGCTTCGCCATTCTGTCCCCTCCAATACTTATTAAGTTATTTAAGACTCCAAATTAAAAAAAAACATATTTTGTTTAAAATTATTTTGCACATTTGATAGTAATTTTATTGTGTTTCATTTTCAGTTGTATCTATTTGATTATGTATAAGTAATACATAGGTATATGCTCCGATTTCTACACACCATTCCTTGACATTGGTTGGTTAGGTTTTATTTGTCATTGCTGCCTGTAGTAGTTGATAACTCGTCCTCGCCATACATTTATATTATCGTAGTACATATAGATAGATATACATAGATATATATAAATAGAACTACATATGTGCCAAAATGGGCATTTACAATATATTGATCAAGGATCATAAGGTTCATACATGTACGTATGCATACATACATCAATAATATTTATACGAAGTGCCTAAAACTAGCAATAACTCCGATACTACACCGTATATATATTTATCATTTGCCTAGGCAATACATTTAGATGTGCTGTATATTATTAATATTATCCAATCAAATGGTTATTTTCTGTCCGTAACCGAATCAATGCAATTTTTCGACAACTTGGTAAACGATTTTGTTGAGTGTATGGGGTTAGTAATTTAACTTAAAATTATAGAATTTGACTAGCTGAATTTGCTTTACACATTAAAAGGTCGTTTTTTTCTGATTTCTAGAAGTATTTATCCATGTTTAACGTTTTACACATTGCGAAGACTACGAACTAATTAACATTAAAGATATTGGTGTTCCATAAACATAATTTGAAGCTTTTGTAAGAAATCGTAAAAGTACATTTGTGATATTTATGTGTTGAGTATTTTGGATGTTAGATTTCGTTTTATAAAGTATAAGTAAAAGTAAAAGTATGCATAAATTAAGCCCACGTATAAATATAATACAGTAAATTATAGTTAAACAAAAAACGTATTGAAGCTTCGTAAAATAGTTTTGGAATTATTATAACTAGTTAAGTATTTACAAAAATATATATTGTAGTAAAATATATATACCTATATTCCGTTACTTCTCTTTTTTTGAGTAGTGTACTTTAAGCTCAACGTGGTCCACTCCAGGTTGTTGGATTTTTGTGTACTCGTTAGGTTTACTGAAATGCTAGCGGGCTGTGTGTGGGTTTTATGTATTTCGATCTGTAAAGTTGCATTGTCAGCTTAGACCTTACTCTCGGGCCCATCCGCGACATGCTTGAAGGCCAGACGTATGCGGGACAAGTAGTGCGAGCAGATGTGCCCATAGTTCTTGTTGTACCACTCCGGAGTCTTGCCCCTGAAAGTAGGCAACGATTGACGTATATTCCACCTATAACAGATTGGCATTAATGATTTGCTTACTTGACATCCACGCGCGCCAAATGCATGACTCGCGAACGTCCACTTCCGCAGGGTTCGATGAGGTACCGTGATGCCAGGACGACACCACGCACAGCACAGAACAGCGGCTTGGCCTTGGCGTGGTCAATTGAGGTCTCCACAATGACGCAGGCGCCGCGCGGCAAATCCGTTTGCCAGGAGCTAAGAAAATTTCCAAATTAGGCATATGAGCTAGCTAAGTTAAAAAAATCCGCCAGTCTTACCGCAGCACGCAAAAGTCCGTGGTCAACTGACCATCGAGAGCATACTGATAGATTTCGGTACGATCGTCCAGTTTCTTGACGGTTTGGCATTGCAGCAGATTTGGATCCCAAGAGGCGCGTTGATTGATTATGTACTCCAGCACATCCCGCGGCGGTCCCTCGATCTCCGTAGAGCAGCGCCACAGCCGCAGGGGATGACCATCGCCAACCTTTTTGTACGCAATGTCCACACTGCTGTCGTTCAGCGAATTGATGGCGATCCAGCTACGCGTTCTGGTTGAGTGGGGAAATTGTGGGATTAATTAGTTGAAATTGAAACCGGATCAGAGATACTTACTTCTCGCGCCCCTCTTTGATGGTGGCGCTTGTGCACTCGTATAGGTATCCACGCCAGTTGTGGAATTGCATGCCCTCGCCGAGTGCCTCCAATGGCACGGGTTTCGACTCCTCCATGTAGCCAAAGTTGCATTTACCGAGTTTCTCCTTGGAAGCAGTATAGATTGGCTTGTAGTGCTCAATCATGAAGGACAGACATTCGTGCGAGGCCTTCGCCTCGGCTAGCTCCTTCATGTCGGGCATACCGGAACCCTTGCCCTTGCGTCGCGGTGAGGCCGACACCGATGCGGAGCCCGTTGAAATGGACGAGTGGAATATGGACTGGGCCAGGCAGACGCCCAGATTGTTGCTGGTCATTTGGTTCTGCTGTGAGTTGGCAGCAACAATTGTCAGGAACTCGAGCAGTACATAGAGTATTTCACGATTCTCATCCGGCAGCAGCAGCACGGCGCATTGAACCGCATCCAGACGTACATCAGCGGGTAAATCTAAGGGTAAATAATGTCAGTACCTGCTGAAGGAATAAAGTTGGCCGTTTACTTACGCTGAAAGATGGCCACAAACGTCTCGGACATTTTTGTGGTCAGCAGCGACTCGGGCAGCTCGCGGAAGTATTGCTTCAGCATGTCGGCCACATCGTAGGCCTGCTGTAGGTCAAACACATCCATGCACTCCGCTGTGGAATCGGTGAGCTCGATCTGCTCACGCAGTTTCATAATCCTGGATTTGCCGCCGCTCTTGCGGAAGAGTCCCACCTGGTCGAGGGCATTGAGCTGCAGCCAGCGCAGAGCAGCGCGCACAGCCAAAGGCAGGGCTTGACCGCTCCGTTGTAGTATTAAAAGCAGGGGTACTCCAAATACCTTCTTGTCCTTGTAGTCTGGCATCTTGATCTTCTTGATGAACTTGGGCAGCTCCCAGTTCCAGCCAGAGCGATGAGACGGGCAGTAGCGTTCCATGTAGCCCGTCAAAGTTACCAGTGCCAATTTGCGAATGATTTGCAACTGACCCGCGGACATGGCAGCAAAGGGAATGCCTGCATCCTCTTGCTGGGCATGTGGCTCGATCTTCTGTGAGAAGCATTTACGGAAGATCATGTTGGGACGCTCCTCCATCTGGAAGCTATGCCAGCGTACCACGGGCTGCCGCTTGGAGCTGACAGTGTGCTCCTCCTCGTTCTTTTGCTCCTTGCGGGAGGTGCTGCGCGAGCGGAATGAGGAGGAGCGGAAGCCATCGCGTTTCTTGGCATCTTTTCCCAAATTAAGCGAGCCACCGCGCGTCAATTTTTTTATCTTCACCTCAGTGGTATTGGAATTGGCATCCTTAATGAGCAGCTTCCGTCCCTGGTGGCACTCGGAGTCCGAATGCGCACCAATGTCATCCACCTTGCCGGAGCGCTGCAGAAAACGACGCGCTTTGGAGGGCTTGCGGAGTGAAAGCGACAGCTTTCCGCCCGTCGACGACTCCTGACTATCGCTGTAGTAGGAGGATGAGTCGTCCGACTTGCCCTCCTTTAGCTGTGTCATGGGGCTGGAGAAGAAGTGCAGCGGACTGGTACGCATTGAGCGCGGTGTAGTGGGCGTGCGCTTGGGGCTGGAACGATTGGGACTCAGGAAATTATCGCTGTGGCTGGGCACCTTCAGCTCGTTGCCAAAGAACGGTGCCTTGGGGAATGTGTGTATTGGACTTAACGCGGACGGGGAGGGGGGCGTGGAGTAGACGCCGTCCGGCTTGCGCATACTGCTACGCTGACCCAGCTGTGCCAGATCCAGCACTTGCGGACCACTTATTACTACATTCTCTCGATTTTGGCGCTTGCGACGCCGCGACTTGATGGACTCAACTCGCCGCAGGAAGGCCTTAGCGCCGTCCTTGAAGCGCTCACTGCCCGTGCGGCGCAGTCGCGTGGCGGCTCCATCCGAGCTCTCGTGGAGGGAACTATCATTGGCGTCGCCCTTGCTGCAGCCGGGTATCATGAGGGTAATGCCGCCTATGTCGTAGCTGTCATCCTCGAAGCGATCGGGACTGGATTCCTTGGAGGAGCTTTCGGTTTTCTCCAGGTTCAGATGACCCGGTGGCGGCAACTCGAGACCCATTTCACCTATACGCGACCAGCGTCGAATGTGTGGTTGGAATGTCCAGTTCTCGCTAAGCGCAAAGTTCTCATCATCTGATTCTTCCTTTTGCTGCGGGTATGTAAAGGTTAAGCTAATCTTGGCTAGGATGAGGCATATTCAACTCACCTGTGGCGTTTGCGGCTTGTGTGACTGATCCAGTCGCATATTGGAGCAGCGATTTAGAACACAGAGTCGCCTGTAAAGTGACTGCAGCTGATCGTTCTCGAGATTTGTGTGATCTTTGGCTACATTGTTCAGTTCGATCGGAAACTGATGATCTGCAAATGGCAAAAAATTAGAATAGTTTTGGATGGTTATTAGCCAGAGTTATGATGATGCTGCTGCTGCTGATGTTTGCTGTACACTGCGTCCGCACGCTTCGAAGCCGCGTGAAATTCTAATTGAGAAACCAGAAAAATCGAATCGCCCATAGCGCCTACAGCCGCAACGGCTAGGCGCCTATTAAACGCAATACACATATGCAAATGCATGAGTATGAGTGCGGGTATCGAGTAGAAGACATTGGCGCTGTGTCGCGCTACAAAATTTTCACAGCGCTTTTCCACATATTTGCGTGGCCAATTTGCACGTAGGAAATCAAGTTCCCAGACGACAACGACGACGACGACGAGCGAGCGAGCGACCACATAAAACAGATACGCCAGACGTTTACACATGTCGCGCCGCACTGTTACAGATACAGATGCAGATACATTTACAGCTACAGGCAGGCAGGCAGCGGCTGGCTGGCTGGCAGGCTGGCGATGCCGTGAGATACGAACTGTTGCAGTTCCGTAGGATGCACGCCTGGAAAAGCTGGCTCACTTGCCGCTTTTGTTTGTACAAATATTGTTAGCATTACAACAATAATCGTGCCTCTTGGAAAAGCCATTCACAGTTTGTTGAACTTTTGATGAGTCCGATTCCCCTGACGTCCCTATCCCTATGCTGGTACCCGATCCCTGAAAGCTTTATATAGCTTTGTTTACACTCAAGCGAACGCTTTGCCTCTGTGCGTGTGTGCTGGCTTATTTATAATTTCATTTAAATACTTTACTAAATGTTGTGTTTAGTTTCTAATTGTATGCACGAAATAAACAGAATTGCCGCATGCCAGCAGATTGGAGACCCAATTTTGAGAGTGTGCCACTTTATTCAATAATCTGTGGTGGCACCACCCAACGGGCGGTCCCAACACCACAGACCACAGCCAGCAGCAGGAGCAGCAGCATCATCTCATTATCAGCACCAATGCGCCCCGGGCCGTTGACGTCATAGAAATATTCTTGGGAAACTAATTTGAGCTTTTCGACAGTTTACAACAGTTTACAGGGCAACGCGCCTGCCCGGAACCGATCGGTCCCGGTATTCAGTTTATTGGGCCAATCATATGATGAATTTTTTTTTTCTCTGTGCCACAGTGGAAAAGCGAATTGTTTGTTTGTGTTAGAAAGCAGCAGCGGATGACGCAGCCTGCAGAAATATACATCTTCTGATTCTTTTACTATTTTTTTGTTGTTGTTGTAATAAATTCGTATTTATGGTCAATTTCGGAAATTTTTCAAATCATATAGTATAGATATGAATATTCGACAAGAAGCACAGCTGTAATGGCATTCATTGTGGGTATTAATACTTCTGCGGAAAGCCTGTTATTCACTTTAAATACAGCTTGCCTTATAAATCGTTCTTCATTCCAGCTATAATCGAACATCATTCGCTCTTAAGCACACCCATATGTGGACATGGGGCTTGCCCCGGTGCAAGTCACACCCTCAAATTAAGGCGGCCACTTTTAGGTGAATAATGTGCGTATGGAATGGGAACTTGAAGAAAACACAAAACAAACAAATATTACACACTATCTTATTTTCTTACTCTCATTTCGTTTGGTTATTTTTGTGTTTTGTCTTCTTCCACCTTAAGCAAATTAACAGTCGCTTACAGCTGCTACACCTCCTTTCAGCAGCGCGAGTCCAAATGACAGAGCAATAAAGAGCTGAACCGAACCGAACACCTACGGCATTTCAATCTGTAAATGTGCAGAGCCAGTCCCAAAGGAATCCCGAAATCCTGCACAGCTCTGGATATTTGAGGCGCTCTCTGCGCATGCGCCGCTGCCTTGTTTACACGAAACTCATTAAAATACGCATTTATCATTTGTGGCTTGACTGCGGCTGGGGCTGGGGCTGGGCTCTGTGGTGCACGCGCACCACTGTGCTGCAATTTAAATGCGCGCACAAATTATTCTGCCTGATACAAATTTGGCTGGGTTCTCTGCACGCTCGCCCTGGCGAATTTATGCAACCAAATGGGCATATTTCAAGGTCGGCGACAGCCACACATCCAAATGCATAAGAATATGCATGAGTGTGTGTGTAAATATATGTGTGCATATGTGGTGTGTAGTAATGCAGATCGTGCTGGGGCATTTGGGCGCCTGGGGATATGCCCAAAAGAGCGTGTTCTCCATTTCAGATTCACTTTTTCTTTTTTTTTTTCCTGTTTTGACTTGGGCTGGCTCATAATTCAAGTGAAGTCGGCGAACTTTTTGGCCAGCTCCAAGGAATCTGTTTTTTTTTTGTCGGCGCTTTATTTATTTGAATTTGGAGATTTGGCGGCGTCATCAATCTGGGCAGCCTTCAGGCGTTAAATGCAAAGCGACGGCGCGCAAGAAACTCGGCGACAAATGCGTAGCTGGCTGGAGGAAGGGCGGGGAGCTGCGTGCGGCGATTACGATTAAGAGACCCAAATAAATATGCAGCTCGGCTTGGCTTGGGTTGGGTTCAATGAACCCATACTAACATTTTGGCTAGTGGCTGCGCAAGGGCTCTGCCCTCTGCCGTCAAGAAAAAAAAATAAAACCATTTTAATTTCGGTGCTCGAAATCTTTTTTTTCGGATTCCCATACAAAGGTGGCCTTTATAAATTCTTGCGCAACGTGTCCTTTAGCCTTTTATTATATTTTATCTGCGCTTCGCGGATTGATGAGTTTTTCTGGCTGTTGCGCTTACCTGTGCTGAACAGTGTTTTATATTTTTTACTTTTCGATAAATTCTTTCAGGCCACGATCGCACAGAGCATTGCTCAAAGTTTGGGGCGTTTCTTAGCTTTCGTTTTCGCTTGAGCGGAGATCGCTCCTAATTGTTGTCGCGCCGTCGTGCTGGGCATATCAGATTCACTTGGCGGTTAGCTATCATATCATGGCATGCCACTGCCCTGGTGCTGGAATCTGTGGATGGTGTGCAGTTCATTGCCGCGCTAAACAATGAGCTGCGCGTGATCCAGCACTAACGCTGTGTGTTCTTCTTTATGTTTGTGGTGCAACAAAAGTTGCCACGTCATAAATGCTGTGCTTGCCCAACTGGGTCTATTCGACGGCTATTTATTTTTAGTGGCAGGCGAAAGTGAAAGTGCGCTTCATGGAATTAATAAACGCCACTTGGGAAGCGTAAAATACTACTGCGTGCTTATAAAAACTAAATGGCAAGGCAACTTCCCGAGTCACCGCTGATGACGTCGTCGACAACGTCATTGTTGGCGTCAAGCGAAACCATCAATTAACCCGCTGCCACAGTGCAGCCCACGTGGCCACGCCCACAGGGCAGGCATGTTAAACATGACAAGGCAACGTCTTGGGCAGACGGAAGTGCGTGCTTTTGGGGCACAACTCGTACTTACCTTCGTACATCTGCGCATATTGCGGAAAACCTGCTGCCCGCAGCCATTTACAAGCTTCCACTGCTTCGATTTCTGTAAGAGTGACAGAAGAGAGAGAGAGAGAGATAGTGAGTGTGAGAAAGGGTATTACTATTACGCATACGCCGTGTGGCCGACAAATAATGTTAATTGTAATTAAATTGCTGTGCGAATTCTTGCGCCTGACAAACTTAAATGCGGTTTGCCTGAAACCAATTAAGGCGCGAAATTCGCTTTTACTTAAGTGAAGTGTGTGGTGAGTGGAGTGTGCGTGTGTGTGTGTAGTGGTGTGACATGGCCACTTGATGGATTATGTTGTAAGCTGTCCAAATGATGTAGACGTTTAAAATTATGCGACTGCAAACTTTGCCGCTGACTGACGGCGATTTAAATTGTGTTTTTGTTTTCCCCCTCCCCCCTTGGCTGTTGCGGAGTTACCAACATATTTTGGCTTGCTGCCATTGACTTGATATGAAAGTAAAAGTTATGAAGAAATTAAGGTGGATGCGAAGGGCTGCAGGGCCAAAGTCAGCTTGTCCTTGGCATAATACAAGTCATCTCATCAAACGTTTTCTTTTGTTCTGCTTTGTTAATTTGAGCTTGATATAAAATAAAAATCATATTCACTGAAGCGCATGTAACTAATTTATATCATCGTCGTATGTCGTCAAAACCAATACAAATATACATTTATTTATGCACATAATATAGCTAACGCCAAAGCTAAATCAGTATTTTTTCAGCCACTGCTCAGAAATAGGCAACAATTTCTTTTGTAAGCGGCCAATGAATATATGAATGGCATTTCCTTAAAGAGCTTTCCTTTGACTCAGCTTGGGGTACTCGTTGCCAATTGAGGCAAGTCAACAGAAGAAGGCAGCTATCTATATCTATATCTATGTCTATGAGCTGTCACTTGGGCTGCTATTTTAAATGCTAATCTGTTTGGTGTTTTACATTGCTCGTTGGCTTTCAAAACGAACTCAATTTGAGACACTTCTGCAGCCAAGCCACGCTGGCAACTGATAGCTGGGGGACTGAGAGCTGAGTGGGCTGCAAGCGGGTACCTGGACTATTGATTTTTAATCAACTTTGTGAAGCGGGCGAAGCATATAGAGACGACAACATGAAACACTTTCCGGCTGCTTACTGCCAAAGCAGCATTCTATGCGATGCCGACGGGTTGTTCCATAGGGCGAATTATTATTGAATTTTGCAAGCGATTAACTTGCACGATAGCCAGAAGGGGTTGAGTTGAGGTGAGGCCAGGCAGGCAGGCAGCCAGGCAAGCAGCCAGGCTTGCTTCCTGTGTTCAGGTTTCTCTGGGTTTTTATATTCAAAAATAGCCACAAACCCCTTGACATGCATTTGAAATAAATTTAGCAAGATATTGTAACTGTTACTTTAATTGCGTCCACTTGACACGACCCAAGCTCAACGACTGTCAGTTTCGATTGCAGCAGAAGTATTGTTGGACAAACTGACCTGCTGGGTCTGTGTAGCCTGGACAACCTTACAATTAGCCATAATACAGCGCTCATAATTACACAAAGTGGCACCAAAGTGCAGGTGGCTATCCAAAAATAGCCCAGCAACAGCTCATTAATTATCCATGCGTATGCAAAGAATAGCTGGCAACAACTCTTCTACTAACAAGAGCACCGGCAACTACAACAACAATTCAGTCTGAACAATGCGAATCCACTTGAGCGTTATTAAAATTGCGCATACGCCGCGTTGTCGCGGCTGAGCCACTTGCTCATCCAAAAGCCATTTAAGGTGTGCACATTATTGTTATGGACGCTTGTCAGGGAGGCGTGTGCTACGCAGTTTATTGCGCTAGAGTCAATATTTGTTGTTTTTCCTGGTCGCACAATGTCGCCCACACAATGGGCGGGGGCGGGACCGGGCACAGAATATACGGGCCCTTTGTTGTCCTTACCGTTCTCCTTGTTCGACTCATTTTCGTCGCTCGTTCGGACATGTTAAAACATTTTAAAGCCAGCCTCGCGCAAATGTATGCAGTTGGCTTTACGTTGGATAATTATTATCCTATGTGTGCTGGTTTGCGTGGCGCGTTTAAGGGCACCAGCGATTACCTGCGTCTAACAAACAAAGCAGTTCTTGATTGTCTAATTAAAAGTATACCTTAGCCGGAATGACCTTAAATTAAACCGCAAGCTATAAAATGAGCAAAACTTTTGGTTGAAAATAGTTTTATGTGGCTGGTTAATTGTGAAAAAAGTTTCGAAATGTCAAACTAAAATGTAGTCTCAACTCTTTAACTAAATATTTCAGAACGAGTTCACATTTTCGCTTGCCATTTCGAAAGTTTCAAAGGATTTTTCATAGCAAATAACTAAAAATAATTGAAATGTTAAAATTTAAAAGGTCCAAGGACCACTAAATGGGGGATTCCTTGAATCTTAGCTGCGACTGCAGAAGCAGTTCTCGAATCATATCCGCACAGTTGGCTCCCTATATTTTGCCTTTTGCTCATAATGATTAAAATTCAAAGTATTCTCGTGTTTATTAAATCGCTTTAGTAAGTGCTTAGCTGTAAACTAAATAGACAAGCCTGTATGCAGTGCTCTTTGCTCACAGCAGTGTGTCATTGAAAAGTGGGTAGCCTTAACACAATTGGTGCCTCAAGGATATGCTGCTGCGAGGTCTGTTACTGGCTGACGGCTTCCTGTTGAGTTTGTGTGGGATTTGTGTGTGTTAGTGACATGCTTTGTCTTTACGCGTGCTCCAAAAAAAGTTAAATGAACCAAGCACACAAAACACAAGCACACACGCACACACACACACACACATACTAAAGCATAGAACACAACACGCATTGCATGGAAATGACACACGCTTCCGATTATGGCGAGCAGTTTACATACTCACAACCGGGCTAAAAACTTGCTCCGCTTTGGCATTTTTCAGTGGCTACAGTGAACCGCAATCCACGTTTGAACGCATGTGCCGCGCCGAGGTGTTTTGCCACACTGTTGGCTGTTGCACGTGGCGCGTGGCGTATACGCAACAAAAAGGCCATAGCGTTCGCTCTTGATTTGTTTATTAGAGTATTGCGCAAAAGTTTAAAATTTATCTAACTTTATTAAGTGTCTTACGGCTGCGTTAAAAGCCTTTTCGAAAAATTGACCTTTCATAAATTTCATTTGGTGGTAAATTGATTTTCCAACCCGAACACTAATTGCAAATTAATTGAGTTAAACCTTGCTTGTTGCGGCTGCCTACGGCATTTTGTAGCATTTTATTATTGCAGGCATTGTAAGCATTATTCAGCAAAAATTATGTACAAATTTTTGCCGCTAAATGCTCGCCGCCTGCCTTTCGTTTAGCCGTTTATGCTGATATTTGAAAGCTAATTGAATGGCCCCAGGAGCAGCAGTTATGTCCAATTTTTGCTATTATGATCAAATCAGTCAATGATTTTTACATATATGCGCACATAATATATTTGTGTATGCAAATTGGTTAAAATACTTCCTCTAAATGCAAAATGTGCAATTATCGAATGAATTCGCTTTGTTGTAGGTGTTTGCTATTTATTAATTGCTTTGCACAGTGCCGTTGATGGTCGTTGGGAAAACACGGCCGCACACAAGCAACTAACAAATCTTTGTCTAAGACGCAGATCAAACACTTAAATGCCATTTGCAACATAAATTTTACTCAAAACTGACAACAACTGACGTATGCAACACAGCACTGTTGCCTTGCATTGGGATTAGCCACTGAGGCAAAAAAGCTTTGCAATTTTTAATTAATTACAAAAATTTTGACAAATATAAACAAAAGACCAGAAGTACATAAGGAAACACACACTTTCTAAAGCTTCCTTAACCACACAGCGTTTTCCAAATTGAGGTCTTAAACAGCTTACACAGCATACAAAAATACCAATCTGTGTTATAAATATAGAAAGAGAATATAGAATGAGAGTTGGGGGCTATATGCACGCATTTCCTCTTCATTGGCCATGCAAAAGGCTCATGCCGCCGGCCAGCTAAGGATCAAGTTATTTATAAATGTGTGTGCACAAGGTACAATGGAAGCTGTTGTCCTACAGACCGTACGCGTGCCGGTGCCTGGAGACGAGTTGCGTCCAGAGAGTGGGTGCAACAAGTGGCAGGCTGTCAGTTCAATTTGCCGTAAACTTGACGATGAGCTGGGCGGTCAAAGGCTTGACTTGAAATTAGCTCGAAGCACGCATCAAAGCGGCTTATCCATGGCTACTGCCAACATCTTTAGATTCTGTATCCAAGTTAAGTCTTCTGCCTTCCCCCAGCTACCCCACCTGGCCTGCTTTGATATCTTCCTACAGAAATAACAGATCATTGAGCTTTTAATGTGTTTTTAATGTCAGCGTATTATACGCCGCATATTTCCTGCTGAGCTGTCGAGCGGGCGGTCGTCCACCCCTGCCACCCCGCCACTCCCCGGCTATCAATTCCGCCCGCATACAATAAAAATAATTCAGACAACTTGCTGTTGTTTTGCTACCAAAAATGAATACACAAAAAAATAAAACAAAAGCACACAGCGCGGACAAAAAAAAAAGTTCGCATATAAAAATAATTACATTTGAAAAGAAACGGAAAATAAAATATAAAAAAAAAGAAAACACAAAACCTGGCAAATCAGCAAAAGAGGCGCACAGTACGGGCAACCGGTGGAAAATTTATGCGTTTTAATGTTATAATACGAAATGGGTTAAGGAAAATCCATTTAAATTAAACACCAGCTTCAACGCTGCTGCGAACCGATTGCGAAAAACAACTGCGAGAGGGTAGAGATCATTTACATAATTCTGCTCATGACAATCAAGAAAACATGCTTGGGTGGGGGCTAAGCGCATTATATATCCTGTGCTCAATTAAAAAGCGTTTAAATGGTTGTAAATAAGTCTGCTAAAATCATTTTTTAACAGAAGAAGAAAATGTCTTGGGATATACATTCATGATCAGCATATATTGACGAGTCGATGTGGATAAGTTCAAGTGATTGCTCAGTCCTTAGACCTGGCTTCAATTATGATTAAATCAATCTCAACAAGTGTCTATAAATATATTGCTTAAAACTGGGAACATTTTAAAATACGATTAATTCTGTTCCGGTTTGACCTGCCAATCCCAACTGAGGCAGATCATGCGGAATTCGGGCCACATACACAGAAAACGACATCGAACTGTTTTTGCAGCCGAATGCTTATACAACATCACGGAATACGTTTGAGGGGCACGAGCCATGGAGGCAGGTGCTCATTACTTATTTTCTTTTTGGGGCTTATTTTTACTTATACTGGACGGTATATGTACTCGTATACTATGCACATATTAATTGTATAATAATTTTTTCCATTTATTACTACATGCAAACAATTTTCTTTATTTAAATGAATTGCCTCGCTTGACTGGCACGCAATTTCACTTGGGTGTAAAAAAAAGCGAAATCGTAGCGCAAATGATGATGGGGTTTTGAGTACGAGTAGCCATAGCACTGGGACAGACTGCCAAAGTGACTGACGGACAAAACAGACTGACTGACAAGCTGACTGACATACTGACTGAACTGACTGACAGATGTGGCCAGCTGTGGAGCAAATGCAAATGACAGACTGGCCATATCTTGTGCATGATATGGCAGCAACTTGTTGCAGCATGTGCCCTATTCCATTTTCCTATTCCGTTTCGCTTAATTATCGCTTAATAATGCAATGAATAATTCGATTAAATTGTGCGCGTTGCGGCGTCGATTGATATGTACAGGCTGTGCTAGTGCGGTCCAGCTGAAAATAGCCACACTTGGCTCCTAAAATAGTTGGCGGGGTACCCTCTTAATGTGGTGTGGAAAAACAATAAACAGCAAGCGGCACGCGTCCATACACAGTCGTAGTATTTCTTCTTCTTCATTTTATTTTAGTTTGTTTTGTTCTGTTTTGTATATAACCAATACGAGTTCAAATTTAATAATTTTTGGCCTTGGGCTCGAGCGGAAATCTTTCTGTGCTTGCGATCGTTTAAATTGCTCACCTGCGATTTTGCGCTCGCGCATTTTTCGCCACAGCGCCTCGGCCTTGCGTTTGGGCCAGTTCTCGAACTTCTGGGAGAAGCTCCTAAAGAACTTGTACTCCCTTATAGATACGGACATGCGGCGTTGCATTCTGGCTATCGTTGGCAGAGCCGTTTTGCCGTTTGTCACCTTTTATTAACGAGTTGCACGAACTAAGTAATTGGCAGCAGTTACACTGCCTAAAGTTACGCCTATGTGTGTGTGTTGAACGCAAAAGAAAGCTTCTCAAATCAATCACATTCTGGCACTTGCATGTACCTAACGCTTACGCACTGTGTACACTGCACTGCACAGCACAGTTTTGGTGTTGGCTTTGAGTTACCGTTAAACCGTAACACCTTTAAACAGCAATTGAGTCGCTGGCGTCGACGCGTTCCCGTTGCCTGCCCCTGACTCGATGCGGCCACGAATGCGTCTACCGTGCACGGCGCCTGTAAGAGCACTAATAATTTTGCCCGCGCGCCAAGCAAAATGGCCGAGCCGAGCCGAGCCGAGCAGTGTCCGTGCCGTGCCGTGCCCGACACGACGTCAGCCAGCCGAGCTGAAATGCTAAGCAAGTGAGCAACGGGGCGTATGAGCAATGTTGCTGCTGTCTGGCTGCCTGTGTGCTATGGCTGCTGCTGCTGCTGCCGCTGCTATACTTGTTCCTTGTAATGGCTGCTGGTGCTACTTGTGAATCGCTTGCCATGGAGATCTATCAGTGCCACAATCGTTTATTATTATTATTATTCTTTGTGTGTGTTGTTCTTTGTTCGGAAAAAAAACATGGTTTGCGGCCCTTGGCTCAGGCAAACCAAACAAATAAATAAGTAAATGAATAACTGCTGTCATGATGTTTATTGTTGATGTTGCTTATTTCAATTCAATGTTCATTAAAAGGACTCACACACACACACACACACCCAATATAGTTTCTATAGTCTCTGACAGCTTTTGTTTAAAGTAGTTGTTTTTTTTTATGGCCTCATACATATATGAATTGTGAGATGGGCTGTGAAAGTTTCCAGTCGATGGCCAACTGCACCTGTTGCTCACTAGATTGGCGGCGAAAAGGGGCGGCGCGCTTGTTGCTTTTGTGGCCGTTGGCATAGTTAGCCGTTGAAGGTCAAACTCTTCTATTATTTTTTTATGATTTCTGCGCAATGAAGTATTGAAATATTTATATAAAAACTTTAAGCGCGTTTAATTAAGTGCATTCCGCAATACTGACTTTGATTGGCTTCCACTGAACTGGTTAATAACTCAAACAGCAAATTACTATTGAAATCTTAGCCAATCACAGAAGTAATTTTTCCTATTAATTGCATTTCGTGGGGGGCGTGACAAGGCGCGTAAGATAAACACGACATTGACACATGCTCACAGCTCAGCGCGAAATACATATATGAAGATGTATGTATGTTCATGCTGGCGGGAATTTATGTATATCTCAAAGTATTTTCTCAGACGATGAGCAAGACAAATAAAAATAAAATAAATGCTGGTAATTTTTATTTGTGCAATATCTGATATATATCATGAAATACTGCGTGTTAATCTTTTCAACAAAATAAACAACAATAAAAGCAACAACAGAAGCGCCAGCTACTTGTGATGCCAGCTTCCGTTGTGCAATGACAACCACAACAAAAGGCAGCAGCAGCCCAGCCTCAATCTCAATTCTCATGCCCATGCCCAAACCCAAGTCCAGACACAGCCCTGAGCATATAATAAATGGAATGAGTGTCAAGTCGAAATGACCAAATGGCCATAATGCGATACATGCATACAATATAAATACAACTGATGCTAAAGGCCAGGCCACGACATTGGCACGATAAGAACAGCTTGTTCTCGCCTGACCTTTGCATGCGGCCAATGCAGACGTCACTCTAATGACGTCACACGAAAGTCAAATAAAAACGCGTGCAGATAGTCGGGCAGAAAAGCGCCTCATATGCTGCCACCTCTGACGTCATCGCTGGATGCTGCTCCTGCTGTTGGCATTGGTTCAATCCCAGCTGAAAATGACTCGAAAGAGGACCTCGCCAGTCTATTGAACGCTTCGAGAGGCGGTTGACTGAGAGCACTTTGCTGTTGATTCAATTTTAGTTCATTTATATGCCAGTTTTGGTATAAAAGGAGCTACCCACCCAACCAACACCATCGCCATTCACAATGCAGATGAAATTGGATGTGTGCATGTGCGTGTGCGTGTGTGCGAGTGTGGTATTTGTGTGTTGGCCAGCAGCCGCATACACATTGACAGATTGACAGTCATTTTTGGTCCGCCATTTGTGTTGAAGTGTTGACGGAAGTGTTGGAAATTGGCAAAAGTGCTGCGGCTGCCCGCCCCTCCCTGCTCTGTTAACGTTGTTGTTGTTGTTTTTGTTGCTGGTGCTGGTGTTGGTGTTGGCCAAAGAACATGAAAGTAATTTAAATGACAGCTGCCCCCGCCTTTAAGCTGTCGCAATGGGCTGCTGGCATTGATTGCCTTCAATTGTTTGCTGCAAAAATCAAATTATGCCAGCCAGAATGAAAACGAAAGTTCAGACGGACGCAAAGGGTGGGCTAGTGGGGCACATATTTAAGACTGATATATGAGCGTGCTTCTAGAGAAATATCTGGCCATAATTATAGAAATTATGAAACGCAGTCTTCACTGTTATTATAAACCACTCACGCTTAATAACAGGCCGCTAATTGGCTGGCAGGACCACCAGCGCATCAAATCAACAAGCCTCCCAACATGATGGCTGTTGCCTTTTTCTCTGCCTCGGCCTCGGCCTCCGGCTCGATCTTGGTCTCGGCCAGGCCATTTCAATAACTCATTTAGTGCACAGATACGTTTAAAGCTAAACAAAAACTCGTTGCTAGCCACTCACCTGCTAAATAGCGGTCACTCTGCGAACGAGAATAGCGCAGCGTCTGTGGGGTAGATGAGGAAAAGAAAAAAGAGAACATATTAATGTCTGTTGATCAAGTTTGCGCGAGGGCTGCTCAGCTTATATCGAGAGCACAATGTAAATCAGGCTAATTTGTCAGTCAGTATATAGTTAACAATGTACATACATCTAGTTAATAATTAAATAATTGTTTTGCTTTACGCTATGTAATGAATGTTAAGGTCAAAATATAAACAGTTCCTAGTTATAATACATTTTTACATTGCATCAATATGAATGAATTTCAGACATATGCATACATTATTAAGTAGATTTGTCGTTATATTTGATAGGTTCTATATTGGTCCAATTAAAAAAGTCCTTCATTAATATATTGTCATCTTGTGCATTTACTAACTCTCGATTTTCTATTTATTTAAATTAAAATTAATTTTCTATTATAGTCAGCCCTCGATACTAACCAAATGCTGTGCGGCAAAGTCATCGCAGCGGAGTCGTCGCTCACGCTCCTTAAGCAGAAGCGGTGCCGAGTTGGACTTGGTGGTCAGTTCCTGAATGCCGCCAGTGTCGCTGTGCAACGAGGCGCTGCTGGGCGAAGGTAGCTCCACAAAGTGATGCAGATGCGTGACTGTCGTGGCCGTGGGCGAGAGCAGCGACTGGAAGGGTTCCTGGCGCAGCGCCAACGACAGCTGAGCGCGCTCCTTATGATTGTGGCGTGGCAGCAGCTTGCGTGGTTGTAGCAGTAGTTGATGCTGCTGCTGATGATGGTCCAGCGAGAGGCTGCGCTGACTGCGGCGCGCCACACAGGGCAACGGCATCATGAGGGGCGGTGCAGCGCTGTATTTGCGACGCAGCACAACTGGCGTAGCAATGGAGGCAGTGCCACCACTGGCACTGCTCGCATCGCCGTCGGTGCAGTCGCAGTCGCAGTAATGCTGCGCCAGCTCGAACTCATCCTGGCACTCGTCATACTCGGCGGCAGCTGCTTTGTTTGGCAACTCTTTGACCGCCTGCTCGTCCAGCATGTCGTCCTGGGACTCGTTGGCCGCCTCGCCACCACTGCCGCACAGGCTGAGCACTTCAAGCAGATCGGGATCGTCTGAGGAGGCCACGGAGCCGCTCTTCTGGAATTTCATTTTGCGTAGCGCCTCCAGGCTGCTTACGGACTCATTGTCGGGCGCACTGCCTCCCGTCCTATGATGGTGGTGCGAATGATGATGCTGCAGATGGTGGCTCTTCCAGTATGACATGTCCTTGGGCGGTGTGGCCGTGCCAATGCCGCTCTCGTTATTGTCGTTGTCCAGTCCAGAGGAGTCGAGCGATATGCCGGACTTGCCGGAGCTCAGCACACCGGCAGCCTCCTCGCAAGCCGAAGACGACGAAGTGGAGCTGCGGGTGGACGGGAAAGTTGACAAATTAATATTGAACAAATTTGTAATGACTTCATTGGCTACTCACTTGTTGTCTTCATCGACGGCGCCAACGCTGCGCAGTATGGACTCCTCTGAAGTCCATATTGTTGAGGTGGAGCCTTTTTTGGTCACATCCACCAGATAGCCAGGCGTGGCGGCGCCTTTCGCCGAGGTCAGCTGCGTTCCACTTGCTGCTGCTGTTGTGGCTGCTGTCCCTGTTGCTCCTCCCGCCTTTGCTGGTGGCGGGGTTATAGCATTTCTGTTCGTCAACGTTGGCGACGTCGCGGCTGCTGCATGATTAATGCCCACCCGTTTTGGCATGGACATGGAAGCCGTTTCCATGTCCAAGCCGCTGAATTGACGCTGTCGCCTAGATTTCAAATCGTCCACGGTGGTCGCAGTGGTTGCTTCACTTGTTGCCGCCGTGCGCTCTTCGATTTTCAATGCACTTTGGAAATTTGTCAGCTTATGAGTTGCTGACGTCGCTGCCGCCGTCGACGTCTCTGCATGGCCATTAAATGGGGACAGCGCTAGACTCTTGCGCTGACTCTGCTCACCCGCCGCAGCTCTGGGTGTTGTGGCATGGCCGCCCGGCGCCGACAGCGTCCGCATGTAGGCAACGCTCGGCTTGGCGGCCACCTCGCTGCGTCCGCAATCAAGGTTAAACGATTGCAGTGGAATGGTTGCCTGCAAGAGAGAGAGAGCCAAGAAGGGAAGCAACGAATTAAAATATAGTCAGTCAGGTTTAATATAGAAAAGTCGACACAACACAGCGCTGACAGATTCGAGGGGCCGCAAACTCAACCTTAAGACGAAGGACCTTGAATGCATAATGAGGCTCAGGCTGGAGACCGCAGACTGGCGAGCCTGGAGCTGGTGCCTGGACCAACGTGTTTTCACGTTTTTAGCATGCCAGAAGACAGCATGCGCACAAAAACAATGCCAAAGGAAATATCAATGGCATTTTTGAGCGTTGTCAAGTGGCTGCGGCCAAGTACGAATACAATCAGAATTTGTATTTTATGCAAATGGCAAAAGAAACTGCGCTGCGAGTTAGTTTTCTGTGGAATCTGCTGAAAGCCATTTCAAGTGGCCGACGCGCAAAAGTCCCCTTTTAACCAGTTTTTTATAGTGTAGAAAAAATTTGCTATTGTTGTGGCGTATGATTTATATGCCGCAGCTGATAGCAGGCAGCCTTCCGTGGAACTATGCAGAGTATCCACTGTAGTCAGCAGCCAGTCACCTGTACCTGTCACTGGTCGTTTGCTGGCCAAAAGGGGTGGTGACCGTGGTGCATTCGTTAAGTTGGTTATGTCAATTCGATTTACAAGCCTTTGGCAAGCGATTGACAATTTGCTTTTTGCTTAGCTGCGAACGCAGGCGACAGCCAGCGAAAAATTCATTTTAAAAAGCAGCAACAGGCGGAAATTGATTTAAATGATTTATTGGCAGCAAAATAAAAAAAATGCCTGGCGAGTGCATGTATATGTGTGTATGTGCATGGCTTAAAGCATCAATGTGTGATAAAAAAAGTCTCTACAGCAGGTTGTTGTTTTTGTTGCTGCTGTGGCTGTTGCTGCTGCGGCTGTTGCTGACGCGAGCAATCTCAGCTCCTTGGGGGCTTTTGCGGCCGAAACTGTAACAGCAGTAAAACGGCTAACGAGCCTGGCAAAACTGTAACAGCAATATGAAGGGTGAGCACAGAGGATTCGGGGAGAATGAAAAAGGAAATTTAGTATACATGACCCTCGAGCGATTTGTTCTTGCTCCTGCGCCTTAATATGGCTGCTAAGCCCAAATGAAAGAATTGTATAAACATATGTGGCAGGCATGCAAATACTATTTGCAAACTAAAAGGTTTTGCAAGCAGGGTAACTAACATAGTCAGTTGTTCTTAAATTTTTGCAATATCTTGAATTAGGACTAAACAGCATCCAGCCATTCAATAGGAATAATTGTATGCCGATTTACTAACATTGACATTGCTTGTACGAGGATATATTCACTCAGCGCAGACGTCTATCCAAATATGGCATACCCATAATGTGATTATTTGCGCACAGGATGCGTTCAGCAAGCCTGGCCAAGAGGAGCATGAGTGCAAGCATATCCTTGGGGAATATGGCAAGCCAATGCAACTGTGCCTGTTCCAGATGCGGCAATCAAATTTGTAATGCATTATGGAGCAGCCAACCGATTGCAGTCTGTGTACAACAGCTTCTATGAATTATTAATAAAGGCTCGATATCGATGTCGATGTCGATACCAATACCCAATGGCATGGCGTACGGGCCAACTGCGTGTTAATGAGCCGCCAACTCTCGCTGGCGACGCATTAATTGGGCGGCCATCCGCCACGTCTTTTATGGGCATTCACACATGACTATGTATAGCCAGTCGGGCGCCAGGCCGCGGCTGCAGTTCCGAATAGTAGATCGAAAATTTTTCATACGATTGCACTAATAAAACTTTTACATTTTATGGCTATTTATTGATGCAGTGAGTCTGTCAGACGCTCGTTCTATTAATTTAGCGCTTTTATCAATCTAAACAATATTCTCATTTATGCGGCCCAAGTTGAACTTGTTTTACATATGTTACTCTACAACTCAGACTCTAGTTTTATTCATTTTGATTTGGAAATTTTGTTGTGATTGAAATTGAAGCATTCTACGATTGGGGCGAGTGACAAGGAAAATCAATTTTATTTGTATTGCAGTAGAACTCGATATCCGAAACGCAGCCAAATGCTATAAAATGTGAACATTTCTCACAACAAACTGACAACTCGCCGCACTCAAATGAAATGTTTTCCTCGGTTAGTTAATGAAAAATGCAATAAAATGAACACAAAATGACACAATATATAGCCCTAAAGGGGTTATCTGTGGACAATGCATTGGAAATAGGCAACTTTAAATGCCACTAATTGATCATAAAAGTGACTCGAAGAAATCTTGAGAGAGAGAAAAATTTGTGTGCGAGCTGTCAATGCACGTTTGCTGGTCTCCATATCAAAAATTTAATGACAAATGCAATGCAGGCAACGCCTCAACGTTCCACATTTATTGATGTATGACCCAGAAAGTAGGCCTACCCGTGCACCCGCCCCTGTCAATATAATATGTGGTATGTGGTACGAGCCTGTCCAGACAATCGCAAATCGATTGGACATGCCTCTGCCCGCCTGCGGTCACGCATGCCCACTGATAATAATTATCAAATCAAAACACTTAAACGCCTGCCCTGCCCATCGTTTTAAGGCAAGACCCGACCGCAGGCTGCCTTTCCTCTCGCTTCCTTTGCAAGCAACTGTTGCTCGTCATGTTTGTTTGCCTTGCAGTGATTTGCAAGTTCTACTTAAGTCAAAACTGTCCAATGTCCGCGCTCCATTGGTGCTGCAGCAGCGAGTTGCAACAACGTTGCACACGTTGCTCACGTTGCTTGTTGCTGGTTGCGATGCGTGAAAAGCTTTGTGTGCGCGCGGCCTTTGTGTTTACAGCGAATGCCCCATCTGCCCATCTGCATGGGTCGTCATCATTAACCGCGGATTGGATTGCACTGCATGCCACACATGCGAAGATTCACTTTCGCAGCAATCTGAGCGCGCCTCATAAACATCATGAGGGGCAACTAAATTGGGGCGTTGGGTTCCACTTGGTCTGGCACAGCAGCCCGCTCCAGCTGTAGCTACAGCGAAATGAAGTGCTCTGCAGTAGTCTCTGCCAGAGTTTTGATCTTTGTTTGAGTTTCTGCCGCAGGGCGGCATATTGACCCAATTCGCTGGCCCACCTTTCGAATGAAAATACATCTGTTTTTGCTTTACTTTCGTTGACATTTTGTTCGCTTGGGCCGTTATGGGGTCTGTCTGTGGCCTTTTTGGCAACCAAGGCACGCACTTGTGTCCTCGATAAGGTTGCTGCTTGCTGTCTGCTGTCTTTGATTTATACAGCTATTGGTAGCATATAAATCATCCAGCCAGCGCTCTGACTGACTGACTGACTAACTGACTGACTCACTGTGGTGCCTGAGAAGCGAACCACATTCTCGGCGATAATTAGTGCACTGCAGTCTTCGGGCTTAAGCGTTTTTAATTGGGACTTTTACTCGACCGATTACTGCGAAATATGACAGCTCGACTGCCTACATTTTGGGGACAACCACAGCAGCAGCAGCAGCGAAATGTCAAACAAGCGCCCACATATTCAGCTGCAATTCCTAAAGGAAATCAATTTCGCACAGCTGCTGCAGCTTGGCAACAGATTTTGCTTTTAGCAATTGAATCATGCCTGAAATTGCGCCAAATATTTTTCATGCATGTCATGGAATATTTAACAAAACAGAGCAGAGTCGACATGAGTTTCCTGTTGTGCCTAAAGTTAAAGCCGGGCCAACTGACAGACAGAGTGAGCAACAGAGATAATAAGTAGTAGAAAGGGTAAGCAGGCATGCATATCATTAGCACAGAAAATGTGACGGAATATACATAAAATAATTATATATATGTATATATTTATATATATAGTGTATGGGCTCCTTGCGCCTCTGCAGTTTAACGATTAATGGAAATTTACCTAACTCGCTTTTCAAATTTTGTGGCCTACAAAAACAACGTGAGCCATAGGTCGTGTTTTCATACCCTGCAGTAAGTACAAATAGTTGATATGGGGTATCATAGGTTTGTGCAAAAATATATCTTAGATAAAAGATAACTTCCACCTTTTATGATATTGGATAAGAATGGGGTCAATATGGAGATGTCGATTTCAGAGTCGACAAGACGTAGATATATCTACTTTTATTTACTTTTTGATTTTTTGTGCGGTATCTTCTAGTCGAGCAAATGCAACTCCAGTACTCATAATAATTTTTTTGTACTAATTTTTTTCGATTTTTGTGGTATTTTGGTGTTGTGTTTTTTTCCACTGGCACGCGTTTTGAAAATTAATATTTGCTTTGTTGCTGTTGTTGTTTTTTCAGCTGCAGCACCTTTTTGAGGTTTTACCATAGATAATCACAGCGAGCTCTGAGCGAAATGTATGCTAAGCGTATGCAACAAACAACAAGCAACAGACGACAAACAACAAGAGACCACAAACTCAGTGCCGTTTATGAGCTGCTTGGGCTTATAAATGTTTTAATTAGATCTATTTGATATGATAAGCCAGAGACAGCTAACAAGTTGCTTCGGTTTCTGGGCTTTGGTTTATGGTTAATGTCTGGATTAAGTGGGTCATCGAGTGAGTGTGGATTGAGCCCGTGTGATTGTGTGTGCGTCTGATGACCGCAGTCGAGTTGTGTCTTAGCCTAGTAGAGTTGTAATAGATGCAGTTGCATCAGTCTAGTCTTGAATTTGTTATGCATCAAACTTTTTAAAAAGTAAAAAATTAATGAGCTTCTATTTTTTGGGAACATTTTCTGTGCTTCCACTCATCAATTGTCTTTCAATAGTTGATTTTTAAAGAGTTCACTAATTAGCTTAATTTAATTACACATTTTATAGCGCTTCAAGTCAACGAATCTTCTTCATTCCAGCCCAAATGCAACTGGTAGTCATAAAACTCGCTTCTGTTTTATTCTTCATATATTTTCCCTATCTTTTCAACAGTTCAAAGTTTAACTCATTCAAGTGGCAGTCTGGAAGTGACTGTCTATCACCGCCCTCTGCACCCTGCCCCCCTGCCCCTTGCAACATTGCTGCTCATAAATTTCACGCGCTTCACTTGCGCATCCGGCACAGCCGCGGGGTAAAGCACATGGCACATATGGCGGCAGTTCTTGAGAGAAAATTCCTCTGTTTTTAGGGAATATGCTCGTGCCGCACTTTTGTGGGGCGTTTCGAGAGGAAAAGAGAGAAAAAGAGACAGAGGGGGTGGGGGCTTTGCGTTATGTGTGGACAACATTGTTTGGCTTTAGATTAAATGCCTTTGTTTTAAGCGCTTTTTATCTAACCTACATAAAATATGCTGGGCTTGCCTCATGTTGAATTCGTGCGAGAGATTACAAGAGAATCCAAGCGATTTCATATTATGAAATCTCAGTGCGAGAATTTATGATTGCGTTTAACTTACATGCTTCTCCGGTTTCAAGACGAGTCCGTTCTGCTGCTGCTGCAGCTGCTGCTGTTCGCTGACTACTGCGTTCTTGCCAAAGCGACTCTGCAGGGCTGCGCTGGCTGCTGCAGAGAGCAGCATGGGTGCTGTCCTGGACGTGGGCGAACTGCTGGTCGACGCTGAATCTGACCCTGTGCCTGCCATGGACGCCAGATGCGGTGGCAGCTTATCGCCGCCCATCAGATTATCCAAATCACGTAGAAATTTGTTTGCCCAAATGTTCACATCATCCGGTTGGGCAGCTACAGGCGACAGGCTAGTAGTCGAAGGACGTCGACATGAGGCTGTGCCAGGGTTCAGCGGTGGCGGCGGCAGGGCTCTTAGTTTAGTTGTCACTGGTTTGCTGTTGCTGCCTGTTGTTGCTGTTGTTGATGATGCTGTTACTGCAGTTGCTGTTGTTGCAGTTGCTGTTGCAGTTGCTGTTGCCGTTGTGCTGCTGCTGTCAAAGCCGCTATCAGATTCCGTAGAACGCGACAATTCATCAAGCTGTTTGGCTGCCGCTGCTGCCTGTCGCACTGCTTCGAGTTGCTCCTGCAGCTGCTGTTGCAAGCGCTGCGCCTTGCGTAACTCGAAAACCTCGTTGATTTCCAGCTGCAATTAGAATACGAGTTGTTAGTTGGAGTTGCACATAAATTCAGAGCGCTGCTGGCCGCGATTGGTTTTGATTAGCACTCTAATTGCGTACATATATCAAATGCAATAGCAATCGGTAGCGGAGACTCTATTAATCGCGCTGCGCCCAGAGCACAAGATTCTAATGGATCGAGCTATGATGTATGTTTGCTTAATTTGCCCAACAAAACAGAAAGAATGAGAGGGCGAGATAGAGAGAGAGAAAGAGAGAGAGAAAGATACGGATAGGCAAAGACACGATCAGACATTACTCACATTGAGTCTGTGGCACTAAGGCACAGAGACATGGGGCACAATCAAAGACAAATAAATTAGAACACGACCGCAAAGGCAGAAAAAGGTTTTTCAAGCAGAGAGCAAAGAAAACTGCAGCCACGAACTGCAAACAACAACAACAACAACAACAACAATGCTACAAGAAGAACAGCCAAGACGTGCAGCAGCAACAACAACAAATGCAAATAAATTGAAATGAAGCAATTTGTTAGCCAGATTAAACAAAAAGCTGCAACAACAAAAGCAGCAGCAGCAGCAGCAGTAGAGAACAGTTTCAAAAGAAGATCAGACAGAGGACCCACAGGGCTAACAAAGTCAGCGAATTACTTAATTAAAAAACGTGGCCCTAAGATACAAAAGAGCTACTCCAGCACGAGAATGGGAACGAGAACTGGCCGTAGCACCAGGCCCAAGTGACATTAATAACGTGCCGAGCTCATTACTCAACAATTGTGTTTGTGTTGCGTTGTTGTTGCTGTTGTTGCAGCCCCAGCAGCCCTTGTTGCAGACAAATGCGATCAAGCATTAGCAAGTAATAAATTCTCAAAGGTAGAGCCCATCTATTGGCTGTGCCATGAAAGAAAGCGCCGACGTGGACCGTCTAAGGCAGCCACATCCATGTCCGTTCGGTCTTCGACGGAGATTTTATCGCTGGGAATGTTTTTTGGCAGAGCTGCTGCCTCATTTGTCCTGCTCGTGTGAGAAGTTGCCAGCTAATTTGTGCCGAGACCAGGCTGTGCCAAAAATCTTTCCCATGACCAGGCTACAAAATAGAGCAAAACAATCAACAGTATTGTTAACAGAAAGCTAACGGATTGTTTTGCCGCCCACTGGGTAGCTAAGGCAAAAATAAATGGCAATTCTGGATACTCTTTGTGGGCCCATAAAACATTTGCGCATATAGGGTTAGGGCATAGAAATGTGTCACAGAATATTCTGATGCTGTAAGAAACCTCTCTAGTGGCAACATTCATATTTCCCAGTTCGATAAAGCGCGTCATAAGTACACTTACATTTTCGAATTTAATTTCATGGTGGAATGCGCTGGACAAACAATGGCCACACACGCGTGGTCCTCCACATGCGGCTAAGGTCCAGAGCGTATTCCCAAAACTCCACGTGCAGACTTGGCCACTGACCAGCCAGCATCTTGGCGGCTATAAAAAGTGAAGTTGCTCTGCAGCCACTTTCAGTTTCTAAGAGCAGAACACAGCGGTCGCAGCATCAAAGTGCCCGACGCGAGGCAAAATTGGAACAGCCATTCCGATCGAGGCAGCCCAGAGGCAGACTTCGAACAGCCACAACAGCCGCAGACGCGCAGCCCAGACAGCATGAGGCTCACGCTCGCCTGGCTCTGTGTCTGCCTGGCGATTTATTGTAGCGGCGGCTTTGCCAACAACGGCCGAGGCAATGTGGTCTTATCTTTGCCACCATCGCTTATCGCGGCAACGGAGGTGGTGGCCTTGAGACAGCTGCAGCAGCAGCAGCAGCAGCGGGAGCAACAGCAGCAAACGCTGCACGAGCATCCGCGCTGGAAAAAGGATGCACGCGTCCTGTTTGACAGCGGCAGCGATGCACTGCGCGATATTGCGCACAGTAAGGAGTCCGCATCCGAGGCTGGCAAATACATGTTGGCCTACAACAACGACGACGACGGCGTCCGCGTGGAAGTGGAGCAACAGCCGGCGGATTTAAATCGAAAAGCATTGAGCGAGGCTTATGATTTAGAGGCACGACAGCAATCAGCGCCGCAGGAAATTGCGCCGCAACATGGCCATGGACTTGAATTGAAGTCTGCCACGCCCACGCCACACAAATACTGGGCCAATCGCTGCCAGCCTGGAAACGGCAATTGTCCGCGGGAACACAATCGCGCCATGCTGACGGTCAGGTGAGCTCAGGATGTGTCTGTGCCTCTGGGTGGCAATCGTTCGGGTTAAATCTACATGGCAAAGGGTTCAAGGTAATCCCGGAGAGTGCCCAAAAAACTTTCTCGCCTTGGTGCAAGTCGGTTGTAAGCCAATTAAAGGCGGCTTGTAATTTATCAAGCGCGTTAAGCCCAAAGTTAAGGTTCAGTTCAGGTTAAACCTTTTGAATATAGCGCCTGGGCGCCAGGTTTTAATGGTAAAGTAAAAAGTCAACAATGAGAGCAACAAATCGTCGACAATTTGGCTGTCAGCCAAAAACACGCAAAACCAATTAATGGGCGTGAAAAAATCAGTTCGTCGATTGCAGTTTTGTTTCTGCAACACCGCGTCGCATACATATGTTGATTTATTTTGTTAATTTTCGTTAAATAACAACTGTCAGCAAATTCATTGGCCCGAAACGAAACGAAAACAAAACGAAAAATTTGCAATGTGCATTGAGTTTCACTTTTCATTCAGCATAAAAGCTGAAAGGGAGACGCCCCCCTTGCCGTCCTGCGAAAAGTGAGAAATTCGTCCATGAAATTTCCATTGTGACTTATAATAATTATGCTTAATTTATATACCCTACACCTATTCCACGCATTTGATATGCTTTGCAGACACAGGCATTTTTATAATTATTATACCCTGTTTTAAAAGTTTCAAGTGGTATATTGGCATACAACTAATGTAGACTACACTAAATAAGAGTCTGAATTTGGAAATTTGGCAAGTGAGAGGAATAAAGCAGGCCACGACTTGAGTCTTGTACAAATGTCTTCCTTTTTTCACCTAACCAGAATAGTAGACATACTCGAAGCAGAGTGTGCACAGTGTCCTGTCAACTTTAATCACAAGTAAAGGGTATACGTTATAGTCGAGGCATCTCCTCTTAAGTAATTTAAATTGTATGAGCAGGGCGTTGAAAAATGATTGGTCTTGGGCGCTGCTATTAAATTACAATTAATCATTTCTTGTGTTTTCTTCGTTGTGTGGCTTTGTTGATTTGTTAAATGCGTCGATTAATTGGACTTAAGCCCGCATAACTTTCAGTTGTTTTTTGTGCCTTTAATTTGTAATTTTACACAGCAATTTATAAAAGGGAATTGCCTAAAATTGACTATTGATTGGATGAGCCGACATGACAGCAAGATTACCACAGAGTCCATAGTTAATTCTGCATGGCATTTTGGGGGGGCTTTGGTGGCTTTTCTGGGTCAGCTGCTCGAGTGGCTGCCATTGTTATAAGCTGCCCACGTACACAAACATGTTCATCAATTTTAGGCAGGCACTGTATGTGAGAAAAAGAGAAACCCAGCGACAGCCGTGCACGTGTAATTGAAACCTAGGCGGCCCACGCACCATCAAAAGAAAAATGTTTTCAGAAATGATGCACAATGACGATCCTTAAACTGACGTTGAGCTACAAATGATGCTTCATTAATCTCAGCACAGACACTTTCATATTATAGAATTTCAAACAGCAGTTTCTCATCCCAACAGAAATAGAGAAGCCGTAGCCCGTTTGCGACATCAGCTAGGTGAAATGCAGGATCAGCTGGATTCCGGCAGTATAGATGCTACTGGCGACACCTTGGACACTTTGGATGATTCCAATGAAGATATTAGCTTGAAGAACAACAACAACGAGGTTATTATGCTGCTTACTGGCGAACAGGATTTGGTGAAGTTCCTGCACTGGGCCATGCAGCTGCTCTATCCCCATCAACATCCAATTGATGATTTGACCGGCAGTGCTGCAGACTTTTATCACCCGGGCATGTTCCTATGGAAGAAGTTCAACTTCTCGGGGCACTTGGAACCGCCGCTGATTGTCGACGAGCCACATTATTTGCTGGTGCGGCGCGAGAAGCAAAATCTAAAGCATGGCTACCAACTGGGCGGTGAGCATGCATAAATCATTATTCCCTGGGCGTAACGAGTACCAGGGTGTTGAAATTACAAAGTACCAGTCTCTAGTTCAGTTGTGCTCAGTTCTATTTTTGCTTCGCTTAATTTTAAATGCATGTGGCATGGTATATTCTTAATAATAACTTTTGTGGCCATTGCAACACGCATTAAGTGGGTCCCTCTCCTCTCCTCTCTTTCCCTCCCTCTTACTTTATGTTTATAGATGATCTGAAATCAAAGGACGATCCATTTATACCACCACGCGGCCGTAAGCACACTACGCCCGATCTGGAGGAGCTGTTGAATCGCTACGAGACCTTTGTACCGAATCGCGGCAAGCGCGACAAAGTCAAAGATCTGTTCAAGTATGACGATCTATTTTATCCGAATCGCGGCAAAAAGAATCGCGACATTTTCAAACTGGACGATCCCTTCTTTCCACATCGCGGCAAAAAACTGAAACTGCGCGATCTTTACAACGTCGACGATCCATTTTTTCCGAATCGCGGCAAGCGGCAAGTGACAGCAAAGCCAAGTCCGCTGCCGGCAAGCATGTGGGGAAAACTACAGTCCGGCAGTGACAACAGCTACGACGACAGCAACGACAACGACAAAGGCGACAACTGGCCGCAAAGAATGTCAACGCATGAAATTAATGGTAACGATCAATCAGTCAAGACATCAATGTCAACCGGGGATGCAACTGAGGGCGCTAGCTGGCAGCGTCTGGCCACGACCCAAGTGCAACTGCAACCGCCGCAGCCAGCTAATAGATTGCACTCGACAAGATCAATGTCAGCAAATTTACAACAGCAGCCGGACCAACTGCAGCGCCTGAGCTTCATTGTCAGCCCGGGCATG